CAGGCAACCTTTTCCAATGCCTGGCTGTCCTCATGATGAAAAGTTTTCCCTTATACGCAGTCTGAACGTTTCATGTTTCAGCTGCCCATTGTCTCTCGTGCTCTTTCTATGCACTATTGTTACAAGCCTGGCTCCATCTGCCTGATAACCTCAGTGTAGGTACTGGAAAGTTATTAACTTTTACTGAAGCCATCTCCTCTCCAGGCTGGGCAAGCCCAGTTTCTGCAGCTTCTTCTCATGGGTATGTACTCAAGCCCTTACTATCTCAGTGGGGCCTCTGCTGAACTCTAGTTTATCAATGTCTTTCCTGTACTGGAGGTCCTCAAGCCAGATGTAGTATTCTAGATGGAGTGCAATGAATGCTCACTTCCCTGATGTGCTAGTTGTGCTCCTGTTAATACAGCCCAGGAAACTGTTACACTTCTTTTCTGCCAGGACACACTGCTGGCTCATGTTCAGCTTGCTAACAGAACCCCAGCTACTTTACCTTCTAACAGTTTAATCACAAAGTCTTCTTTATTATTGGGCAGAGACAGCTTAAACAGATGAAGCAGTAAGAAAAAAGGCTTTCGATACCAGAATTTCTTGTAGCAGGGCCAGACTAACCCTACTGCATACACCACACCAGCAGCAGCAAAGAACAGATAAATGTATAAAACTGTCAGCTAGCATAGGGTCATGAAGTACAGCTTTCTCTGCCTCAAAGACAGGAAACAAAGAGACACTAGAGAAGCTGGTATTGACTGAAACATATAACTCTACAAGACTACCACAGCAGCTGCTCTTACTTGTCATTTTAGCACATAATTTTGAGGACAAAGGTGACTACCATTCCTCTGCTTGTGTCCTGCACAAAAAAAAAAAAAAAAAGACCTAAACATTTATTGCAGGATGAACAGTTTTGTATACCATATGCACCAGTCATTCCTGACACATAGTTTACTCCTCATTTTTGTAGCAAGAGAAATTCTGATCAAGAAACTACACACGGTGTTTAACACTGAGGTTCTTGACCAAGGAATATATGAACGTCAGTATGTTTTCTTGTCACAACTATTGGCTTTCACTTCACATTTCATGGAGTTTACAAGGATTCTGATGTCAGACTGTACTAAGAATAGAATGCAGAAGAAGCTTTACTTGGTATTGTCTAATCTTGCCTACTAAAATTTTCTGTCTGCTGGGCAGCTTTGGCTCTGAAACAGTACCTGGATACACATTCTTCCTAGTTAATAAATTTTAGACAGGTTGTACTCAAAACCAGGCAGCAGTTAGGTCCCTTTGGTATCCTCAAGCAGAGGACTGAAAAAATCTGATACTCTTACACATAGTTTGATACTGACCACCAGGCCATTCTGGTCCATTCACCTCTTTTAGTAAAGATGGATGTGAACAAACCCACCCCCTCCAACATTTTATGAGACCCTAGCAACAGAATTTAAACAAAAGCAGGTAAAATACACAAGTATGTCTATCCACTGGAAAACAGAGAAAAGCTCCTCTCCAATTTTGAAACTCATTTAAGCTCTAACCACACACCTATTAAAACCAATTCATGATTTCTACTGACTTTACTGGAAGACAGAGTATAGTCCAATAAGAAATCACACTGAACTTAGCTAAAGACAGTTTCAATATGTATCGACAAACCCAGGCACCTCCAGCCACCAGAGAGACTCTCAGTTTCAAGGATGGATGCAAAGATACAGCAACACTGTAACTTAAATGCCATAATCATAATTTGTTATCTGGAACTGTACATTTTGCAAGCCTGAAATTTCTGGTGAAGCAGAATAAAGCAGTTAATATAGTAGAGGACAATGGCTGTAAACATAATTTATTTGATTTAGAGCAGAATGTGGATAGAATATAATTAGAAAATACAGGCTTTCAAATAGAATATTTGAGCTTCAAATTTCAGTAGCTGAAAAAGACAGTACTGCATGAAGTTGCCCAGTTTTCCCTTGAAGCACGAAGTTCCACCAGCTGACTACCTGTCCTGTGAAGAATCATCTCCGTTTGCTCTTTTTTCATTTAACATAGCACATAATTATGGTTTTTGTTTTGTTTTGTTTTGTTTTTTAGTTTTACTTCATTTATTTGGAAAGAGAAATGGGAACTCTTAGGTTAACTTCATGTGGTCCTGATGATTTACTACTGTTGTTTTGCCAATGACCAGGCCCAACAAAAATGATAACACCAGCAGGGAGATGAACCAATATGCAGACTGTATTGTAGACACAAATGTTACTATATGAATGACCACCGGGGGTACAAACAGGTCAACAAGCTCATACATGATCGACGCCACCCCCAACGATCCCACAAACGACATGACCCGGCCCACAACAGGTGGTACAAACAGTGAACCGAGGTTGCCCACAGTTGGCATGGGAAACAGCCAGACCAGCCTGTTAAACACCTAAGAAAAGTGTGCCCACATGGCAACTCTCACCCGATTGACCCGCATTTGCAAAGGCCTAGACAGACCAGGTCCCAGCTCCAGGTTGAGTTAGGAGGTCTGCCCTGAACCAGGCAGCTCTGTGGAGTGCACTCCACAGACAGACACTCCTGACTCCCTGCAAGTGGTCCCGGATTTTATCCCCAAGTGGGACACCTGACCTTTGTCAACTCAGTGCGGGACCCCTGGGGCTCATTTCCCTTCTGGCTCTCCCTGCAGGGCCGGCCGCACCCTGGGGGGAAGCTATAAGGCAAACTCACCACCTCTTTATGAAGGGCTGTGGGTGTCACCCATATGTCAACCTTAATTCAGGGCTCGGGGTTCAAACCTCAGCATTTCAACTGTTCATTTTTCTCAACTTGTTCCATGCATTTATTCCACGCAGTTTACTTTGCAGAACTTCTGATGTACAATGGGTAACACTTAAAAAGTGCAAAAATTGGCAAGTGCCATAAAAGCATATATAAAGAATTAATCACAACACAATTAGTTTTCCATCATCTCCAATAGGAGGTTGGGGTTATATTGTTCTCCTCCCCGAGTTTATTCAATATAAAAAGGACTTGTGTACAGAGACTGCTGTGTATCTCCAGCCCATGAATGGCATGGCCAAGATGTAGCCAGAGCTAACACAAGCGTGCGGACCTCTGCTGTGCTGTCTGGGCACCTTTGTAGTACTTGTCAGGTTAGCAGAAGCTTACTAGGCACAACACCAAACATTAGGGTCCTTCTTATATTGGAAAGGTAGTGCAAAGACATCCACATGCCTCTGCAGAAGCCAGCCTTGGTTCAGTCAAACGTTTTCCATAAGCTCCATGCTCTCAACACTGAAAGGGCTGCTACATTCCCAGTAACAGGAACACAGAGTATGTTGGGTCAGTCTGACTTGGCACGGGTTTAGATATCTGCTGATGCCCTCTGAAAAGACCTTATTTGTATAGCACTGTGCCTGGGTCTAAATGCAGACAGACTGTACAGTTGATTCTGCATGGAGTTGTATCAGAAACGTATTTTCTGTTCATGGCACAGGTGAAGCAAAATCCAGACGGATTATCTACTGCTGAGAGGTAACTGTACTAACTGACAACACAAAAAAATCCAGATAAAGACAGATAACTTACATTCTATTAAGAAAACCCCTGAAATAATGATTCCAGCTTCTCATGCATTGCCTGTGATCTTCTCTATGGATCACATAATTTCTCAAGTGTTTCCCCACGAGAATAGCGGATAACAGCTTCCTTTCTCCTACTCACTGTATGACTAAGTTACTTAAAACTGTTGTTCTTGAGCAAGCATTCAGAAACAAGAGTATGAAATATTAGACTGTCAGGTCTCCATGTGCAACCGTGAGATGTAATTTTTATCTGACACAAGCCAGAGAAAAGCAAAAATATGCAGAGATGTTCCACCAAAGAATTAGCCCTTCAGCTGTGTTGTATTCCAAATAAATGCAAAGTTTAGGAAAGAAATTACATCTGATTACAGATTCTAGTATTCAAAAATTATATAAGGACATTTATAATATAAAAAAGTATATATAAATATTAGGTAACAGTACACTTAAAATGTTTGCGAGGACTCAGACTCAAATGAGATTCTTTCAAGATAATTAAGCAATCTGAAGAAGTGATTTGAAAATTAACATTTCTGAATGAAAAAAAATGCATTTCTCTGCATTTAACATAATTAATTTGTTTGTAGCTAAGGTTTAGGTGGGAATCAAATCCTGAAATTAGATTTTTTTTTTTAAATTTAATCCAATGCCTGGTTTTATATATGGGTCCTTTTATGAGCTGTACTGGGTCTTTGCTATGGAGATACATTCACAAAATAAGAGATTTTATTCTACAAGACAGGTCACAAAAAACACAGTAGGGTGCCTTAAGATAAGAACAATGCAACTTTGAATAACTGTCACTGTCTTTTCTCAATATGCCGAATCCATTCAAAGTATCTCCCATTAATTCTGCACTGTTGCTTTACTCTTATTCCTGTTACTCTCAACAGGCTGTAGTGAAAATCTCAGTGTTACTTCACTGAAGAGGGGCAGAAGAGACATCATATTAAAACTGGCTATTTTAAAAAAATCAAACAAATCATCAGTGTCTCCAGAGCAATGGATAGTTCACTTTCCATTCCATCACTTTTTTTAGTGCAGATTCTCCATTTCTTCCAAAAATACACAGGCTGTTTGCAACACGAAAAGCTCTTGTGAGACAAAGAGAAAGCCCCCTCTTGACTACTGATTTTGTCAGGTTAAGAAATAAATAAGCAAGTAAATTCTTACTTTATGACTAAAACTATTGTAGGGATCTTGATGGCCAAACAGTGATTCACTAGGAAGGAGCAAACATAGATGCTTAGTCCACAGAAGCAGACTGCAGTGGCACAACTCTCATGCACTTCAGGTGAGGTTCTTGTATTAGAAGTGCAGTTCAAAGGCACAAGGGAAAATCTCACTTATCTCTTTAGGTTCTCATAGCATAATCACAGTGCAAATATGAACTTATGTTAAACATACTGCAGGCGACCATACCTTTAAGAGTTTTTCTCTTTGCTTTGCTACACTCAGTTTTTCAGAGAGCTGGCTGAAAGGTAAGTTGCAGGTTTCAACATCTTCATGCATCGGAATGTAGGAATGCGCATTACCTTAAAAAAAAAAGCAGCTGATTGTCACTGCATTTTTGCCTAGCCATCTTCTAAGTCCAAGCAAATTTAAAAGAAGTTAGGCTCATATTAGCTTCTTTATTTCCTTTGAGCAAGCCTTCCTATTAAACAAGCAAAAGAAGCCAAATTTTGTGCTCAGAGACAATGCAAGACAGGACCAGCAATAAAGAATGTACGTGTACTCTTAAAAATAGAAGTCAACCACTTTGCTAGTATTTATGAAAACCGGGAGTGTTAGGCTAGTGTGAATAAATATTTAATGAGGATGGCAGCTTAACACATGGTTACTTTGACTCTTTTCTCTTATTTGTATAATACAGTCAAATAGTGGAAGAGTATCTATCAATGACTATTTGATTTGAAAAAAATTACCTGCTTATAAAGCTTTTGTTACCCAATAAGAGTAGCATCAAAAGACACATCTAACATAAAAGATACATAAGCATAGCATTCACATCTAGAGTGACCTGAGCTAAACTTACTAACAGGACTGTAAAGTTTATATGTAGCAATTTTGTTTTTCATTCTAGTGAATGATTGGAACCTGTATTTTCCTAACTTTTATTCGCCTCAGTGTAAGCAGGTTCTACCTCTAAAGAAAATCTCACCATTTCTTGAAGAGGATAAAGACCTCAGAAGTGTTGCATTTATAAATAGATTTTGAAACTGCACATTTGTGTTAACTCTCACGTTCACAGAAAAGTATGATAGTGCCTTGAGAGATATGTATTGTAAAAACAGAAGCAAAGTCAGAACTATTCACCAATGCAACACAGCATAAAAAGAAATAACGTGGAAACTGAAGTACATACCTCTATTAGCATTCAGAGCAGCTAACTGTGATTTCAGTTTTGCAATAATGCTGTTTTGAAGCTCTATCTTTTCCTGCTGTTCACGTATTTGCTGCGTGTAGTTTTCTGTCTGCAAATACAATGTAATTAGCATTAATCTTATTCCGTTTTGACTAGGGGTCTCCTATTTGGCATATAAAAAGCAGCTCTGATTTTGAAGATAATTGTAGTTGTGGACTTCTACATGAACACACAGCTACAGTCACTTTTGGTAAGTCTGTATTTTTGAGACTGCACTGATTAGAAAAGGTATTATAGAAAATAAATCCTGTGTTTCAACTGCAGTAGTTGTAAAGGTTAGGATAACTTCTAAGCTAGGATTCTTCACTCATACCCATAGAATACATCAAGTTTAAAATTAGAATTTCAGTATTCTTCAGAATGCTGGTCATTTAGTTTATCTATTGAAAGATGTGTTTTTCTTCCCCCATATTTTATAAGAAATAAATTATATAAAAATAGGCTTTCAAAAAGATAGATTTTAAATAGAAAACAACAGCATTGCTTAATCTATACAAGATATTTTGTAAGTAACTTTAACTGCCATTGAACAGAGTTTTTCCTTTTCTTTTACTGTAGTAGACTTGTTTTTCTAACCTAGAAGATAGGGGAGAGGAAAGCAAGCAAACAGCCCCATTCTTCATCCAGCTATACTCCATCTCATGCTATAAACAGGCCATATAGAGCCAAATAAGACTGCTCGCATTTCACTGAAGTGTATAAATATTGTCAAACAGCCAGTTAATTGAACAAATGGTCAGGTGGCAGGAGAATGCTAATATTCAAAACCTATTATTTCATTAGCACATGCCTAATGTTTCAGTTACAGTGTTGCTAAAAACAGGCACAAAAACTTGTGAAGTCCCAGCAAGGAAACTTACAGGAATGCATTGAATTTTTCTGAAATTAAGAATATGTCTATTACTGAACAGGTCACAGCCTGGGACAGGACTAGTTATTGTTTTCATGTCTACTCCTAATTTATCCATACTGCTATCTAATTCTCAAATCTCAGTGACATTTTAATTCCACATCCCCCTACTGCCCAACATGTTTGTCTGCAAAGCAAGCAGGAAAAAAAATGTACAAGCAAAATTTATTTTAAAAGGCCAGGTAGTAGTTGGACCACGAGAGTTTATAAAAAGACAAAAACAAACAAAAAAAAACAAAACAGTGATCAAAGAGCAGTACACTCCAGCTCTGTAAGAGACCTCATGAAGCAGAAAAATCACTGAGAACCAAATTGAAAATGTACAACAGCAATGTCTTGTCAACACTTCTGTACAGAGCACAGACATGACAGCTAAAACAGACAGAAGAGAAGATGCTTTTGACAGCCAGTGTGCACAAATTATTCCTTGAGTCAGATGGCAGCAACAAGTTACCAACTAGAAGATCTGCATGACAACCAACCATCCATCTGTATCAAACACCATCTGGCCGAGATGACTCTGGCTTCTGTGTGCTTGACATGGCTCCCAGCTCTAGAGACTTGCAAAACAAGTGGCCTATTGGTAACTTAAGTAGTAAACTGTTAACAACAGAATGGTGGACAATCCAACAATGTGTGAAGGCCACACAATGAACAGAGGAAGTTACTAGAGTAAAGCACCGTACAAAGACCATTCAAAACCTAGGTATTTGATTTAAAAAACCTGAAAACCAACACAAACAAAAAAAAAAAATCCCAACTTGTTATAATACCAATTACTGAAAAAATACTTCTGTTCTCTTTTGTGGTCATGAAATCCAACTACTGAAAGTTTGATGAGGAGAAAGTTTGAACTGGCAGTAATCCTTTATGAAAGACTTTTATTTTTTATTTCTGAACGAGAGAAAATGGAGAGAGAAACCTTGCAAACATTTAGTTCACTTAACACTGATGATCTCACACACTTTTCTGGTTTTCTTCCATAGATGTTAGAATGGCTATCTGACCTTGTACTTTATGTCTTGTTTCTTGGGCAGAAGTTTCTTTCATGTGCTGTTAGATGACCCAGGAGTATTAACTTGACTGGTTTTCCTTCAAGTAATTACATTGTTCATTTTAAGAGACAGAGTTTAAAAGATTCCCAAGCATTCTAAAATGTGTTGCCTTTTGTTAAGTTAGCTACAATTTCAGCACAAAACATATGGAACTGCTGCTGCTTGTTAAGTACAGAAAATGCTACAGGTTTGCACCAGCACTGCTGCAACAGGCTGTGAATGGAGATCAGAGTGGATGGCTGCACACATGATTGACTTGATACCTGCTCTTCAGTGCCTTGGTGAGTTTATTTTGCCATGCAAGGGGATGGCAAGATTGTGCCCAGATATCAGAATATTCTCTAGTAAACCTTTCTGTTACTAGACCATTTCCACTTAACTTGACACTGAGTATGGCTCACCTGCCCCCGAACACAGTCCCAGCCTACCAGTTCTGTGGAAGTATCAGAAAGTCCTGTAGCATCAAAAAACATTCAAGCCTTTCTATAACAGAGGTTCCATTGGTGGGCAGAATACGCCCAATAAAATTAGTATGACAAACCCCCTAACTGTCAACTTTGCAATATGCAGGCATACATGATGAGAGGTCCTAGAGGAGTTTGGGCTGAAGTAATGTATTCTACAACAGATTAAAAATTAAAAGGGGCTCCTTACTGGTGAATGCCTCCAGAATATTTCCGTTATTTCACAATTAAAGAATTATCTTACAGAAGATTATTTAAAAAAAAAATAAATCAATAGTTATTCTAATAAGTTTAAGGTATGTTTGCTGTAAATGTTACAACACACAAACTCAGGTGTCCTAATAGCTGGCACAGTGCATAACGTATTAGTCTTTGACCTTCACATCAAGTAAACTAGTAATTCCTATGACATATCTTCTTATCAATGCAAAGATGACTTAATTTGAGCTATTTATATTAATAATTGAAAAACTATTTCTTAATAAAGCAAATTAAATTTCAAAAAGTACTTTAGTAATGCTAGGTAAATTTTATATACACCTTTGCTATTTACTTTAAAAGACTTCATTAATTCTCCAAACCAGGCAACACCTTTCTCACCTTTAAAATCACAAAAAAAGAATATTAAAGGTCAAAAACCTGAAACCCACCTACTATATTGACAGCCTAGTGAGGTACTCTGCAGTGTACTGGCCTGGTTTCATAACAGCAATTTCCAGCTTTAATAGATGCACTAGAGTGTACATAGCAGAAGTAAAACTGAAATCTACATGGATCACAATCCTCCAGGGGCAGAAAGGTTTTAAAGATACAGTTCAGAACCCAAAACATACTTTTTGCTGTAGTTCTTTCACAGCATAGTCCCTATCCATGCATGCTTGTCGATAGGCTTCATAAGCTTTGTTAAGCTGCTCTCCAATGTTTTTGTCCATAATTCCCAATGTTGTTTCATCACTGAAGAGACGGTCAACTTAACAGACCTGAAAAGTAATCAGAATGAAGAGAGAATGCTTGGAAACAGGTGTGTGTAACTCAAAACATACATAACATGACATATTAATATCAAATTCAGGTAATAGGCGCAGTATGTTTGAGCATTAACTCACATAATAGTTTGAATGATAGCTCTGCTCACTTCAGCATTTAATTTTATGCCCAGAGAAAGGTTTAAAGAAAAGCCAAACACAAGCAGGTTAACTCTGAACAAAATTCTGGACATACAGAATGTGTAAATGTATGGGTAGTTACAATGTTTGTCTGAGACTTAAAATTAGTGCAGATCTCTAGTTTCCTAATTTTATGACATTCCCAGTAGTTTAAAGTTTACACAATTGTGAAAAAACACATAGCATTAAGCACTGAACCAAAGCTTTTGTCATTAAGCAATAAAAAGATAACAGCTCAATAACCTTAGGTCACATGGACCTATCCTATTCTATGCTATATCTGAAAATGGCAACATAAGCAACGCTACAAGGTGAATTAAAACATCTTTTATCTAAAAATCAGTAATACCAAACAGTAAGAATAAGCAGGACTCAGACCTTTTCACACAATACTATCAACTTCATTTTGTGAACAATTTCAGTAACAGTTCCTGAAACTATAGCACATGAACTTTGACATGTTAGACTATCAACCATCACAAACTTTAATTTTAAGACAGTGAACTTCGCAAATGCACATCCTTTGCTTCTGTGGTAATATATGTCATGAATTTTAATATCAAAATTTATCGTAAGTACAGTAGAGGAGTGGTTAGTGAAGTCTCAAAAAAACCCCAATGTCATAGCATGAGCATTAAGGAAAAAAAATAATCTGTAATTCATAGCTCCTGTCCTGATATTTAGAGTACGGTTACCTCACACAGCATGGATAGCCACTATCACCTCTCACTGTCTTCTGGGATTATGCATAAACCACAGATACTATTATGGAAAGTGGTGCAGTCAAGAAGACCATGGATAAGCCAGGCAAGAAGGGTTATGAGGATAACTTGTCTTGGACGCTGGTCAAAATTCTAAGGATTGCAGCTTGAAGCTTTTGTTCATGTTTTCTTGCTCTTCAGTATCTTTTATATCATAAAGCATGAATACAAAAATGTGGTTGGACTTCCCTAGAAGATGCAAAAGACTACTGTATGGATGTTACACCTTTTTGTCCTGCAAACCTCATTTCAATGATGTGTTCATATTGCAAAAGCAATTGTATCTCAACTCTGGCATGGCTGTTCTTTAGGAGAGACAAAGTGAATTCTTTAGCAGCTTAGAATCATTTAGGAATCTTTTAATGTAAAAAGTATTACTGAAAACCAAGTTTGTAAGTTTTGTGTAAAATGCCTACATTGAAAGTTGCTGTTTGTTTTTTCTAAACAGCAGTTCAGTAGTTTATAATCTCAGGTACATACACACTGTCTCAAAGCACTGTTAGTAACACAGTCTGCTTCATCCACTCCCTTCCTCCCCTAAAAAAGCATCCCTCCACCAACTGGAATATTCATTCTAATATCTGGGGCACCCACAGCCTTAAAGTGATGGGTGTGATTTATTTCTGTTTCAAATGAAGGACTGGTTTATGTAGCTCAAAATCAGATATGACAGCTGACTGCAGGAGCAGGTACTAAACGGCAGAAGGGTATTGCTATGACTGAAAGTGATTGAAAGTACTCTCCCACCCTTTTAAAACTTGCAGAGTTTGCTCTGATGCTCATTTTGTACTTTTCTAGAGACACTTCTAACAATCTACCTAGCAAATGGCACTGTCCTGTACACATAAAAGGTGACTTCAAAAAATGAGTGCAATGGGATTTAAAAGACTATGTTCAGTTTCTAAGAGAGGGAATGAAATTCAGCTCCATATGACTCACAGTTCAGAGAAAACTAAGGCATTAATTTCACTGATGCAAATCCAAATCTCACTTTGAAAAATCAGTATTTTAAATTTATAACTAACTTCCAGCCTTTTACTTACTGATGGAGACTGGGAGTATTAACAAAGAGACCAGCTCTTATCTGGACTGCTGGTACCTGTAGCAATTGATCCAACAGACAAAACCGTAGCACTGCACTTGATTTTCTACTTGGTAAGAAAAAATACAGAGAATGGTAGTTATTTCCTGGTAGCTACCTAAAATCAAAACTCCATGCAGTAAAAAAGGGGCAGTAAAAGTCATTACTACTGACACTCTAAGATGAAACTGTAACTAGAAGAATTGGTCCTATACTCTCTCACACCCTAGACACCCATTTCTGCTTCCACCTCACCCTTCCCATTCTTTCAGCACGAGGAGTCTTACTGTAAAATGCATGAGCTAACCAATCCAGCTTAAAACTAAACGCTAAATCTGTTTTTACTGTTTTACTTTTAATGCAGACCAGCTCCACAGACCGCTTCAAACAGCATGATAACACAAGGAAGCCAGCTCAGGACCAAAAAACATTAGCAAAAGGAGGACAAGAACTCCTGTGCTCAATAGCAGCAGCACTGGCTTTGAAATTGCAACAAGGAGTCACGGTTATGTAAGAGTGATGTAAGCCTGTACTGCCACAGAAAAGGATACTCCTGCTCTCCCGCATCTCCAACCATGAATTTCTGCAAGTTATTTGCACTGGTATTAGCACCTTTACACTACACGGTTGAGTAGGGCAAAGTACCTCCCTACGTCCTCAGAAAAGCAACAACCCCCTCAAAAAACCAACCCCCAAGTTAAAACCAGAGCTAGCTCACTGTGAGGCTGCTGGAGCACTACTACCAACACCGGGAGGCAGTGGGAACATAAGACCAGCCGTGGGCTGGACTGCAGGAGTCTAGATTTAGATTGGCTTAAACTACTCTGTAGTCACACCCGGAATTGCCTGCTGCTGGAATAAATAACTGCTTCTTATATTATCTATCTCACAACCAGAACTCCTTGCAGTTAGAAAAGCTGTCTCCTTTTCCTGCTTCTCCTCCACAGGCATCAATATTTATCAAGGAATTTGCCAGCTGTTCCTTCTCATTTACTTTTCTCCCTACATCTAGTTATAGGAGGAAAAATAAACCCCAGCAACCCTAAAATTAAAATAAAGTAAAACCTACCCCCAGAACATACATCCCTGCTACTTTAATCAGACTTAGTTATGCTGTATCCATACAGCAACTGGAAAATATTCAGCCCAAAGTTAACAACACTATTCTTCAGCAACTGACATTCTAAATATGCATTAGATCCTAAAGACTTTCACAATTATTAACAGCAATATGTAGTCAGAACAGATGGAGCAATAAAAAATACTACATTTATTCTAACAGGGACAGAATCGGAGAAAGAGATTAGCTCCACTTTGTCTTATGAGTGAGTCCTGCAAATACGAGTCCCTGTGAGTGTTGCTATAGCTGGAGCTATAGCAAGAACCAGATGAGTAAAGACTTGAACACTTGAAAACAATTGAGTATAGCAAATGTTGTAAGGCAAACTTTTAAGTAAACAAACCAAATGAAACCTGCAGATGCTCTTGAAATGCTTGCTTCAAATGAGAAACATTTTGCTGATATAGGTGGAGGAAAAAAAAAAGTAGGAATATGAATCTTCTATGAGTCAAACGTCAGAAAAGCCCCAATGCAAAGAATAGCAACATACTGGTGCATACATCCTGAAATCCCAGCTCTACAGATCACTAATGAGGCACATTCTGAGTTTTCACAGTGCCTCAGGAAACACCGTAAATTCTGAAAAATAAGGTTTTAGCTAATCATGTGTATACACATCTCCATTCGTAATACACATGCCTACCTCTCATAGGTTCTTATAAGAACACAGATGCCATCCAGAAGCAAGTACTTCTCTACATATTTCTGCTTTCAAAACAGCTTCTTCAATGGAAATACTTTCTAAGTTACATTGCCATCACCTTAGGAAGTGGAAACCTGTTGAGGTAATAATTTCTGAGAGATGGAGGGCTCACTGCGCTTTCCGTTTGGGGTTTTATGTTTGTTTGGGGTTTTTTGTTTGTTTTGTTTCTAATTGTCTAATGGACAACCAATTCCCGCTTTGCCCGACTACAGGAAGAGTCGGAAACCGAGCAGGCGCCCGTAACGCCACCAACGTTACCGCCCGGGGCGAGCACAGCCCCCTGCGCTCAGGGAAAAAGACGGCGATTACCGGAGAAGGGCACCGGCAGTCCCGCGCCGTTCCAGCCCGCGCAGCCAGCCCGCCTCCGCG